TCTTCCTGACTCCAGGCCCAGCGCTCTGTGCACCATGCTGCCTGTTTGGTTTGGTTGGACGATTGTCATTCAGAGTCCAAGCGGTTCATTTAAAATGTTCCAGTGGCCAGACGTGGCCTGATCAAGAACAAGACCAGACCATGGAAATCAAGAAATATGCTTTGGCTAATCACACTCACACTGAAAAGACCAAAGTCTTTAAATTCAAGATATGTTTGATCTTGCCAGGCTCACTTCATGTTGTTCATGCCTTCTAGAATAATACGAAGAGACTAACAATCTGTGTTTTTAAATTTCAACTCCATGAAGGAACATTACCGTCCTTGAGGATGGTGTAAATGCACCTATTTATTAGAATGGCACGTCATTCCAGATTTCGTGAAGAATTACCTAAAGAGAAGATCATTGTTCATAGTGTCCTCCTGTTTCAGAGATTATTCTCCAGTCAGTCCATGTGAATTTTAAACCTTTCCTATTCAATTTGGCTATTCCTATTCAGTAAACATTTTTTGCAAAGTTACTGTCAGGGACCTATGACCTCTGAATTACAGGATTCCAACCCTTGATTTAGGAATGCCAGGGTGAAGATAGAAGATTGAAAAGGTTATACCAGGAAAACAGTTGTTACAGACCTCATGACATAAAGTCTCCATTCAGTAGATTTAGTTTAATTAAGCCCTGCCTGAGTACCTCTGGCATGAAAAGACAATGCTAGACTCAGGCACAAAATGGCAAAAGTCCCAATTCTGCCATCAAAGAATATCCATTCTGCTAGAGGACGTGTTATCTACACAAAAGGCAAATCTATGCAGAAAAAAGGCACTAATTCAGAGGGTCCAGGCAGGCTTCCTTTTTGGAAGTGGCATCAGAGCTGAGCCCTGAAGGGAAGCAATCTGGGGACTGGAAAAAAGCGAGAGGAAGAGAAAGAGAGAGCATCTCCAACTTTTAGCTTAGCCTATGGCAAAGCACAAATGGAAAATGGAATGTCAAGGTTGAGGGGCAGCTGGTTGGTCTGTGACTAGAATGTAGAGTACATAAGGGGGTATCCATACATTGTGAAATGTCTGAAAGGTTAGGAGGGAGCCAGACTGGGAAAAGCTCCTCATGCTCTGCTGAGAAATGAGTGTTTTCCTAAATACAAAAGGATCCACTAAATATTTTTGAGGAGGGGGATGAAGTCAGATCCATGTTTTGGGAATATCAATTTGATATTAGTGTAGAGAATATATTGCAGAGGGGAGACTTTCAAGCAATTAGGAGGCCATTGCAAGCGCCCAAGTAAGAGGAGATGGGAGCCTGAACTGCAGTGGTGACTGGGACTGAAGGGGAGCACATAGATACAGTAGATGTTGAAGAGGTAGCATCAAGAAGATTTGGGAACTGATTGGATGTGGGGATGGTGGGAGAGGGAGGGTCATAGATTGTTGATGTCCTTTGAATAGAGCGGTTTGGATCAGTTGATGGATTGAGAGCCCAATAAAAATGCTGCGCAAAGAATCAAAGTGAGGAAGTAGAACTAACAAGTGTAAACTAATTTGTCTAGGAGTTTCACTATGTGAGAGAAAGTTATGGAATAACATCTTGACGAAATGGTCTAGAAAAAGGATTTTATTAAGTATAGAGGAAGAAAAATACCAAGAGCAAGAGAAAGGCAAAATCAAAGCAATGTTGAGGTTCCATAGTACACCCAGGAAATTGGCAGAATTACAAAAGATAGACAGTATTGGAGAGGTTGGGGAAGGCAGGCACGCTGATGCACTGTTGGTGGACCTGGGAAGAAGTTACACCGTTGTTGGGACCAATGAGATAATGGTTGTAACATGCTAAGCACAGTGCCTGGCACATAGTGCTATATAAATATTAACTATCATTATGAATAATATTATTTCCACCTTCCAAGGCCATCCCCCATCTGCCACTGCAATTACAGCATGATGTAACATCCTTCAAACATTTACCCAAGGAGTCTGTTTCTGCCTGTTGTCATGTGGCCTTTGAATAATTACTCCAAGCTGGACCTGTTGGCTGGCCTTCCAGCTCAGCTGCCCTGGCTTCCTTGAGTTAGAAATATGTACTGCCACAAAGAAACTGCTAAATGTGGTTAAGATTCGAAGTCTTCTAAAAAAGTTAGCTCTCTCTTTCCTTGTGTTGTTCCACCAATATGTCATATTCTCAGTGTCGGAAAAACAATAAAATGAATCATTCTTGGCTTTGACTGATATGGAAATACACAGCAGAAAACAATCCTGCTTAACATAAGCAGGAAAGTTCTCTGTGGTTTGCACAACACAAGTAATAGAAGTACAGTCATGTTTATTTTCACTGCAGTTGAGAGATAATTAAAATGTTCCTGGGAGGAACAAAGGAAAGCAAATCTAGGAAGCCTCAGAAATAACTAATTTATAGAAGAAGGATTCAGCACTTCACACACGTATGTGCCTAGTCATGAGACAAAGAAGTGTCATTAATGAAAATGGAGATGGTCTGGATGCAGGGCAGGAGGCAGTAAGAAGGGGGGTGTCTGGAGGGCAGCGTTGGGTGGGTAACTCCTGGCTGGCCCAGGAAAATGGTGCCTGCACAGATCATATATGTGTGATTTTCCATACTTGTAATCATTACTAGAATGAAATCTGTATGAACAAAAAGAAACAAAATCCCATAATAATAATCAAACAGCTCCAATGACAAGCACTGAACACCCTCTGATTCCATTCCAGGAAAACTTTATCATGAAGTGCCTCCTGTATGTAGCGTTTCATTCTCTGCCTTCATTGGATTTATCATTAGCATAAATGGGAATTAACGGTTTTGGACTCTGGTGGTTTCCAGTCGCCTTCCTCTCAGAGAGTACAGATGCCTTCGACCTTCTGAAGGAATAAAATACTCAGCCAGGACTTTCACACAGTCTCTCCTCACCTCTTACCTACACTATTATAGTGAATGGCCTCCTTAGTTACACACACACACACAAACATTATAGATATATATGTATGCATAATGTGCATCATAAATTATACACATCTATATATACACATACACCCTTGTACTTATGTTTGTCTAAGATATACATATATAGTATTTACACCAGAAATACTTGTGTATATAGGAAATAGATTGCATATATCCATATAAATCATAGACAGGCAGGTTGTATACTGCCTATTTGTACCTACTTATCTGCACATTCTACTCCCCCATTATATCGTGACCTCCTTGAGAACAAGGACTCTCTTTTGCCTTTCATCAGTCCTTAGCTCATTGCTTGGTGCATGGTCAGTGCTTCATATGTTGACTGACTCCTACTGACTCTAGTTTTACTCTGGCCAGTTTTTCTCAACATTTCCCATCATTCCCGACACATTGCCAAACTTTCTTGTTTGGTGTTTCCGACCACAGTGTTCCATTTCTAACCTCAGGCCTTTACCCAGGTTGTTTGGCATCACTCCCGAGGGGGCTGAATTGGAGGTCACCCCTTCGGGAGCCGAACCCCATGTCTCCCCAGAAGTAAACAAAGTGCAAGCTCAGATTCCATAGGGTTTACTGTCATCCAAGCACCCACCATAACCAGCTGTGCTCCTTCCTCCTCTCTGCCTCTTAAACTCCCTAGCTTCCATGGAAGCTTCTCTCAGGTGCCAGGCACTATTGGAAACCTTCCCTTGTCAAAGGAAGTAACATACAGAAGGCATTTTGTAAACCTTCAACTACTACTTCATTGCCATCTAGTGTTTTATTGTCATCATCCCTTCCTATGTTAGTACTGTCTTCTTCCTCAAATTATCTCACATTTGCTTACTCCCAGCAGAGTATAATCCCATTGAGGGCAGGAGCTATTACTTTTTTTATCTCTGTGTCCTCAACATCTGGTGCCTAATAGGATGCTTAACAATTGCTTCTTGGATTACATTACATCAATGATAATAGGCATTCAAGCCGTGGATGAATGGTTTAACATTCATTGACGCATAGATTCAGGCAGATATGTCCCCCACACCCACAGAGAAACACAAATATGCAGACACACATATACTGCCTGCTTCCCACCTGCAGAACCAGCAAGCTGGAAGGCTGTTCTGGCATTCCTTGGGGGTGGAGGGAAAGGAGTGTTCATCCATCAGAGGGACCCTTCCCCTCCAGCTGTGTCGTCCTAGGAGGCATTTCATGTTCTTCATCTTCCTGAAGCTTCCTCCCTGAGCACAAGCCAATTCTGGTAGGGACTGGACAGGAAATCCTGTCCACAAGAGTTCTGTGGTCTGGATGGGAAGACTGTACTTGGAGAGGAATAAATGGTAGAAAAGGAAGAAGAAATTGGAGACAGCAGATGGAAATCAGAGCCAGGGAAGATGTGAGCAATGAAGCGTTCACCCATGTCTGTTTCCCTTATTTTCCCCATCCTTCCCGCCAGTGACCTCAGGCCAAGATGTATACGCTTCCACTTTGACCAAGTTCTTGTGGTCACAGAAATGGAGTTTGGTGTCCTCTGTGAGGCTTCAGGTTGAAACATCCAACTACTCCCAGTGGAGTAGTTCCCCTAGATAGATGTCTCCTAGAATTGAACACAGTTTTTCTAGTCTGACCAATGGGTCCATGACCTTCTAAGCCCTGGGAGCTATACCTCACATAATGCCACCCCATGTTAGACTACTTTTGTAGCTGCCATGGCATACTGGTAACTCACATCGAACTTGCACTTCAATAAAAAAGACAATTTTTAGACACATGGTCATCTAACTATATCTCTCCAATCTTATGCTTATGAAGTTGACTTTTGGACCCACATGTAAGACTTCATTAAATTTGATCTGATTAGATTCAGCCCAGTGCCCAAACCTGTCAAGGCCTGTTGGGATCCTACTATTGTGATCTGTGAAATGAAAAGAGCTCCATGACACTGATTTAAACAATGTTACCCTCCTTTCATGTGGGAAATATTGATAGGGAGTGATACTGAAGCTCATGGTCCTTTTCTGGAGAATTTCATTTTTTTCCATTTTCCCCTACAGCTTCCAAGCCAGTAGACTGGAAATTCTGCACAGGGACTGTCCCAAACACCACTCAGCTATGCCACATTCCCTGCCCTGTTGAGTGTGCAGTGTCAGCGTGGTCAGCCTGGGGACCTTGTACCTTTGAAAACTGTGATGACCAGCAGGGCAAGAAAGGTATGTAAGTGGTTGCCAAGCCTTCTGCAATGTAACATGCTGGGTTAGCCTTTAAGCTTCTTGTCCCCTGTGCTTATCACAGTGCTGGGCACATAGTAAGGACATAGTAAATGATTGTTGAATTGAATTGACAACATCCAGGCACATAAGGTAAGGAGAAATCATCATGAATGGAGAAGGCCCATGTTATAAGGTGGCCTTGAACTGAACCACAAGGGATGACAATGATGTCTCATAGTATGCTTACCTTCAACTATGTACAAGCCAAGCCCACTCATCCCCCATTGCAACACAAGCCCCTGATAACTGGCATGCCTTTCTTTCATGTTGGCACCTCCAGACCTGAGCACAGGAGCTTACACAGAAGAGCTGCTGAATCGGTATCTGTAGAATTGAATTAAACATAATGAGGTTAGATACGTGATGATGGAGTGCCTTGTCGTATCATGGGAGGAACTGAAGAGTCATCAATTCAGAATGTTTCTTCCTTATGCGTAAAGGTCTCTCAGGAGATCTGACAGGAATTTTGGAATCCATGAGTACTACTAAAGGTGGTGCTTAGTATGCAAAAGAGGAGTTGAAGTCCTTGAAAAAATATTTCAGTAAATGAGAATACATTACCTATCTGGAATTTAGTTACCCATCAACCTTTTCTATTCAGGGCACAACTGAAAACCATTTCCCCCCAAAAAAAGAGGCTTCTGAGCAGTTAAAAAGGAGCACTGCAGTTTATTCAGAGTGCAGTGCCTTAAATATTTTCTCAGAACCTACTTTTGTTTCACACATAGTCAAACAAAAGTTGGACAGCCACCTGTCTGCAGTATATTATAGTGAGGATTCCTTCCATGCATGGTTTGGACCAGATGGCCAACGATGTCCCTTCCAACTCTCAAGTTCTATGAATTTTCATAACCTTGGTGAGCTCGTTCCTCAGCCTACAGAAAACTAAAAGTAATTTAGTTTAACTTAATTTAATTTAGAAGGAGAGAAAAAAGATGATATAGTCTGGCACAGTGAGAACTGGCAGTCAGACAACAAAGGATGATCTGGATGAAATATTAAAGGTATTCAAGAGAAGAAAAAAATGTCTATAGTCCCAGGCTACCATGACTAAAGCAAGCATTCCTGTGTCGTTCTATAAGTCCTGATGTCATCAGGGTGTTATACAAAGTGCTATGTTTGGTATGAATCATTAAAAGACGATTAAAGGATGTTCAGTGTACTCTGAGGCAGGGAACCATGTTACATTTTAGAAAGATTTCCTTTCAAATAGTTAAAATTTAAAGTAGCTTTGGCACTCAAAGTTGACAAAGCCTGTAGTTATCCAGAAAATTCAGAGACCCAGTGTGATACTACCATAGCTGAAGGTAGGTGTTGCATCTGTCTGCCTGGCTCCAAGATCAGTGGGTGTCAGGTAAACACGTTATCACATGGGAACACCAGCTACTTCATAAGGGCCTGGTAAGTGTTCAGCCATGATATCTGAGTCACCTCTAAGACTGGAATGTATGCTAGAAAGGCAGCATTGCATTGTGGCTAGAGCTTTGGAGTTTGAGTCAAGAAAACCTGGGTTCTCACTTTTAACATTCACTAATGGGCTGTCATCAAGTCAACATCTCTCTGAGTCACCCTTTCCTCATCTCTAAAATAGATGGAAATCACATTCTCCCTACCTAAAAGGAAGTGTTGCCTAGTAGATAGGGAGCTGGTTTGGGAGCCAGGAAGAAAGACCTGGGTTCAAGTCAAACCTCTGACATACTGGCTGTGAGTCACCTTTTAGCACTCTAGAAAACTCTCTAAGACAATAAAATGCAGAGTAGTCACCAACTTGTACTGATAGAGGGTGTTAACTCACTAGGGAGTTTTTTGTGCCAATGAAATAAGAGGTTCAATCTCTATCCCCTGACCTGTCCCCCTCTAGGATTATTGTTAGGCCTTTATTAGATCTTTTATGTGAAGTCCTTTGCTCTGAGCAGCAGAATTCCCATTCCCTCTGACTCCTTAAATGATTGCCTCCTGGAGCTGTCCATTGTACTAGACCATCCACTGACCAAATCTTTTCTTTCCCAAATACTTCAGGCTTTAAACTGAGGAAGCGGATGATTACTAATGAGCCTACTGGAGGATCTGGAGGGACTAGTAGCTGCCCTCACTTGCTGGAAGCCATCCCCTGTGAAGAGCCTTCCTGCTACGACTGGAAGGCAGTGAAGCTTGGAGACTGTGAGCCAGACAACAGAAGGCAGTGTGGTCCTGGAACACAAGTCCAGGAGGTGGTCTGCATCAACAGTGATGGTAAGGCCAAGACACATAACTACAGTGATGGCCCTGGGACACTGTGTGGAGGATTGAGTGAGAAGCCTTCCATTTTCAGAAGCAGAATGTTGTCGGGGGTTTTGATGTTCAGAAGTATCTTTTCATTTGAGATGCTATGGGATGAAATACCAGACCTAACACAATGATGCAGTCAGAAACAAAAAACGGCTAAATATGGGAGGTGCCCATTGAGCACAGGACAATGCTAATGCTCACTCTGGGGATTCAGAATAGAGTAAAATGTACTTGTTTTGATCTTGCTTCAGACCTGTGGATTTACTGGTACCAGGAACTCCTTGTGAAGGAACTATCTTCACCAGTGCAGGAGTTATAAGTGACTACCTCAGGGTCACACAGCCATTATGTGCAGTCATGACTTGAACCCAGGCCTGATTGACTCCAAGCCTAGTTCTCTGTTCCCAACACCATGCTGTCTCTCTAGCTTCATTCTACAAACCATTTTGTCTTCTCCCTTCTGATCAGTAATGTAACAATGCCAGCTTCAATGCCAGTTCCCCAATAATAATTTGCCTCAGGGCCCTGCTGAAGCACTCAGAATCTAAAAGTGGTCTTAACACAAGCCTTGATCAAAGCAGGGGCTGGAGGGGTGGGATCTTTCATCTCTGGCCCTGAAAATTGCTGATGGCTGCTTGGGTGCAATTTACATGGCAGGCTCCTTGTAAGAAGAACATGAATGAGCCTCATTTCCTCATTCTAGATTTGTCTCTCATGGTGCCATATTTAGCACAATGACTAGCCCATAGTAGGCAATGAAGGATTGATTGATTAATTTAGGCTCCTCCCCTGGTATACAGCTCTTTTATCCCTTCTCCCAGGATCCACACTAGCTTGATAAGCACTTCATAGCTACTGTGGTCTCTCAGACCTCTTAGAACTTGAATTCTCTCCTCCAGGGCTCTAAACTAAACCTTTGGAAGATAATTCCAGACCTCTTTAACCACCAAAGAGAGCCCTAAATGCGGCCTCAGCTCCAACAATATCTAATCTAACAATCTCTGAATATCTAAGAATACTATAAGAGGGATGATATACAACAACAACCTATATAATACTTTGTGATTTGTTGACTCACTTGATTCTCACCCTCTGTGAGGGAGAAGCTATCTTTGTCCCCATTTTACAAATGAGGAAATTGAGGTATGTTGGTGGTTGTGCTTTGTTCTCGAAGAAGACCAAATGACACCACTATGCTAGAGTCAAGCTTCAGTGTGTCTGGCTGTGGCTGATCAGACCAATACGAGCTCAGAACATTCTACCACAGGTCGGGGACAGATAGTCTGTGTGAGCCTTTGGGGTGGATTCTCTAAATCTGCACATCTTGCCTTTCTTTCAAGTGATTTCAGTTCTGCTTTGCTGAGAGAGCACATAGGTTGTGATTAGAAGTGATTGCTCAGTCATACAGCTAGACAGTTTCTGGGGCAGGATTAAAACTCAGATCTTCCTCACTCCACTGTAAGATAACTGGATCAAAGTGTTGATACTAATTTCAGCTTGGAGATGAACTAGCTCTGTGCCCTTGAGTGAATCATTTCCCATCTGTGGGTCTCAGTTTCTCCATATTTCAAATAAGGGAGGCTGGACTCAGATGGCACTGAAGTCTTTTCTTGCTCCCAAATGTTTGGATCTCATGCATATGAGAGCAGCCTGCCCAGAACACTGTGCCCTGGGGCCTGGGCCCGGGATGATGAGGTCTGTTGGAGGCAAGGCAGCCACATTCAGGCTCCCTCAGGGGTGCTGGAACTTCTGGCAGCTACCTTCCTTTTTGCTTTCAGTAAACACAATTGTTTCTTCCTGTGGCTCAGAGTGAGTGTTCTGAGCAGAAAGCTGTGCTTGGGGGTAGGAAACCCAGTGTTAGGGAGAATTTTTTACCTTTAGGCATGACAATTCTTCTATCTCTTGCCCTGGGTCCAAACCATATGTGTGGTAAGCCTTAAACAAAATGCAGGCTGGCCCATACTGCACTATTATAGGAAGGGAAGGAGAAGGTGGCTGCTGTGCTTTTATGATGGATATCGGCTTTTCTGCCCTCCCTGGAAAGCAAAGGCAAGTCCTCTGCTGTGTGGTTCCCAGGGCCAGGGTGTGATATGGAAAGCCATCAAGCTCAGGAGCCAGAGAGGGGGCTGCCTCCTGCCCCTCGTGCCCTATGTATTAATGAGCTACCTGGTGCTGAATAGTGCATAGCCCACCTGTTACTGTTTTAGGATCATGCACAGTGAGCTAGCCCCCTGCAATGAGAGAAAGACAACACTGGGTGATTAGCTTTTAATTTCTTTAGAAAATTATGTGGTACAGTGAAAAGAGTGATGGATTGGTAGTCAGAGCACTTTGGTTTAAATATCAGCTCTGCTCATTCCTGTCTGCATGCGTCTGGGACAAGTCCCCTTCTGTTTCTAGGCCTTGGTTTTCTCCTTCATAAAATGAGAAGGCTGGACAAGACCTCTAGGGCCCTTTCCTGCCCGTATCTATTAACTAAATTATGAACAACTCCATTTTGTTTCCATTTCATTTTCCTCCCAAAAAAAGTATGACTCTGGGCATGTGTGTATACACTCCTGTGTGCAGAAGATTGCTAGGACAGAAGATAGTCAAGACCCTGCTCCCAAATGCTCTCCTGAGGTCCCAATTGTTTCTGAAACAAGTCATCTCTGGTAGGGTGGGAGGGAGATAGAATTTGGAGTTGGGAAGCCTGGGCTCCGATCTTGGCTCCATTTGCTACAAGTGTGACCTAGGGCAAATTACCTGACCTCTTCAGGCCTGTTTCTACAGTTGTAAAGTGAGGAGGTGATTGGCCTTAGAGGTCTCTTGGAGTTCTAAAACCCATGATTCTGTGGCCCAAAAGACTGAAGGCTCGTCCTTACATGGCAAATGGACAACAACAGAAGGCCTATATGGCTGGCATCTTGGTTGTAAAAGGTAGAAACTTAGGGAAACACTAATGTAATCTGCCAACCCCTGACATCCAGAATCCCACTTCTTGTCCTCAGTTATACCAGGATATGCCATACTTTTTAGGTAGCCCATGCAAGAGACCAGGGCACTCTCTCTCATACACACACACACACACACAGAGTTTTACCTTTTGATATAATGTACAATTCACTTCAATACTTAGATCAATTCATGCAAAATATTTGTGACATGAGAGAAATCTGTGGATCTTTTCCAAGTGGACACTTTGCCCCAGTGTAAATATGGGCAGATAATTCAGGAAGACCATAAATAACCTTGCTTCTCCAGGCTGAGCCAGGGGGGAGTAGGGAGGGGGTCACCTAATAAGAGATTAGCAGCTGCACCAAATGTTGCTCTGTAATTAAATCAGGCAGAGGGAATTGGAGTTGATTACTTCTGCAGACTCTTCCCAATACAAATGCTTGAGCTGGGACTATAGATTTTGTTTTGTAATTGAGTTGAGACTCCACTGTGGAAGTAAGGAATTAGGGAATCTGCCTGATTTTGGTTTATGGAGTAAATAGGATGGGAAGCTGCTCACTTCCACCAAATCCTTGCATCTTCCAAATCTGGGTGTTAATTAATCCAATTAAACTCAGGAAACATTCTAATTAAATGCCTTTGTTTCATTTTCCTGAAATGGCTGTCCACAATTTTAGTATTAATACTTTCAGAGACTCTTGGATCAAATATTGAGAGCATGAAGTGAGGATTTACTCAGGCCCACAGAAGACAGGAGGCTAGCCCCAAATTATCCATACTATTTGGCAACTTGGATTTTTCTCACCTTTTCCATCCTCACATGAGAGTCAGGCAGTCTAAGAATGATGCCAAAGAGCTTTCAGAGTTTCAGTCCTGTGACTGCTGAAGGGACCCATTTCTTTAGCTGCCCCAGCAGAAGGGGAGACTTTGAAGAATCCTAAAACCCAGATAGTGGCCAAGAGTCATGCATCTCCATCAGATAATGCAAAAGTCTTAGACATTTGTAGGAGAATTCATCTCAGTTCAGAATTTATCTCCAGGACAAGGTATTCTTAACCTCCCAGGACTGCAAAGTCAAGCTGTCAAGGTTGGACCATCCCTTACCAAGCCCAAACAGATGCCCTTCTGGTCCAGAACTACTGCCCCAGCCCTTGTTCTCAGCCCTGGATACATCCAAGTCCCTCACAGGACCCGAATCCTTTAGAAAAACAAGGTTTCTGAACACAAATAAACATTCCTTAGCCACAGCCTGAATTCAAGGCAGACAGGCAGATGGGCGGTGGGCCTTTTCTCCCTACTCACTTATCTGCTCCTCATTCTTGTGACACCAGCTTCCCACTAAAGCCTCCTCCCTTCTCCCAGACTTACCACACACAAGAATGGAGGAGAAAAAGAGGAAAGTGAAGATAGGGAAGGGGAGGGGAGAGGAAGAGAAAGGAAGGGAGAGGAAGAGAAAGGAAGGGAGAGGAAGGGAAAGGAAGGCTCTCTGTGCCTGAGGACAGCTGATCCTATGCAGCCACTGAGTATGTTGTTTTCTCAAATCAGTTGGGGATAAATGGAAATTAGCAGGGCCAGTCAGCAGTAATGTAGAGGTTATCAAAAGTTCTCTGAACCTGCTGATTAATCTAGAAGAGAGGAATAAATAAGGCATTGTAAGGACAGAAAATAAATTTCTCTTCATATAGCCCTTTCTCCACCCTGAAATCAAGGACCATTTTGCTTTTGCCTTTTGTCTCCCTAGCATCTCTGCTGGTGCCTGGCACATGGAAGGCATTTAGATGTTGACTTTCACTACACTAATGACAATCATTTATTCTGAGGCAGCTTAGTAGCACAATAGATTGAGTCATAGAATAAAAACAAATTGACTTCAAATCCCATCTCAGACATTTACTAGCTGTATGATCCTGGGCAAGTCTCCATATGAATGAGATGGAGAGATGTGGGCTGATCAATAGAAGACATATGGCTTCAGAAGTGGTAGAATGGGCAGACTCAAAGACTGTTTCATCTGGGAAACAGCAGTT